GGTTTTTTTTGGATATACTCAATTGTGGCTCGTGCAATGACTTTTACATCAACATTTCATCAAAGTTGCCTTATTTTGTAAGTATTCTAAGGACATACACACTTTTACATTTTTTAGAACTTTTCTTAGAAATGTAAAATGGTGGAGTGAGTGTGTTGCTCAATCTTTTTATAAAGATAGTTTCTACTCACAGTTAGTTGTTTTCGACGATCCGGATTTCGAGCTTATAGCTCATCATCAGGTTGTAGAACTTCTTCATATCATGAACTATATGCTCGAAACTCGGACCGTTGAAAACAACTAACTGTGAGTAGGAACTACCTTTTTAAAAAGATTGAACTTTTCTTAGTGAAATATCTTTTACAAGTGTGTACTGATTAGTGACCGTTAGTCGATGATTATTCAGAAATCGTGAGATGCGGTCTGGTGTGACGTAGGTATCAGAAAAACATTTTCTTTATCGTGCCAACGTTTCGATCTTTATTGAGATCATCTTCAGGGTTCAAAGTGTGTTTTCTGCGTAATTGTGCCATTCTTGCGTGTCGTGTTGGACACTCTCAACAAGAATGACACATCTACACAGAAAACAAACACATTGAGCCCTGAAGATGATCTAAATAAAGATCGAAACGTTGGCACGATAAAGAAAATGTTTTTCGAAAATCCTACGCCACACCAGACCGCATCTCACGATCCCCAAATAATCATCTTTGGCAAGGTTGAAAAGCATGTTATCGAACCCAAGGAGAGCAGCGACACAAGAACTTCGTTCATGTCATATTATTAATGATATCATTTAATAGATGGGAACAAAAATCATCACTATTCTTTTCATAAAGTGTACATAATTTTTCAAAACTTAACTGAAGTATTGTCTGAAATGCTTTTCTTCGTATTGGATACACAGGCAGGAATATAGAGGAACCGAAGTGACTGCATGGAGGAATGAAGGACTTCCCTTATTTCCTCCAAATCATTGCACGTTATTTCAACTTTCTCAATGATTTCTCTGTTTCTACGTTTCCATGGGTGTGCTGTACACTGTATTTTCAGAAATCCCCCATAAAATGTAGTGGGCCTAAATCAGAGCCCCTCGCAGGCCATGCTACGAGAAGAATGTATTTAATTTTTGTTACCACTAGTAACGGTTTTCATTAAAAATATAACATGTTCGATGTGTTGCTGCTCTCCTTGGGACCTTGCAAAGAATATTTCACTAAGAAAAGATTTAAAGCATGTAAACGTGAGTATGTCCTTGGAATACTTATAAAATAAGACAACTTTGGTGAAATCCCAGAAAATTTTGATGGAAAAGTCTCTGCACGAGCAACAATTGATTATATCCAAAAAACATGTGTTTTGCCATTGGCTATTCTTTGAGCGGCTACTGTGTATTCAGTAGCGCGAATTTTTCACCGAAAATGTTATCTTGGTGAAATTTTAATTTAGGTTGTGAAATAAAGGTCAGATGTGTATTTTAATGAATAATGAAGTTGAAAAATTAACGATTTTATGTTAAAAAAAAACTGATGTTAGACAAAAATTACAAAATTTTACTATCTCAGAAAAGGGACAATATAGAAAACTCGTTCAGGTGACACTGAACTACGTTTTATTTAGTGAATCCACCATATTGACAATTAATATACATTTAATCCTTTAACTCCCCTGTACACATTGAGAAAACTAGTTACTTTAACCTAAAATTAATATAAATAATGTACATGATATTGTATTTTTTAAAGTAGAATATAGTTTCAACGATAATAATGTAAATTATTTACTTCCTAAATTCACTAGTTTTCGTGGTCCGCTTGACTAATTAATATATTTCAATTAATTAAGGTTTTTAGTTGTAGAAAAGGCTACCCATTGGCAGCTGCTCTGGATTAATAAAATTATATTAATCATTTTCAATTAATTAATCTTTAAGTAAGTTATTGGTTGAGATAAAAAAAGTCATCGTCACGAGCGGGATTCGAACCCACGATTGTCGGCTAGGTACGCCACTGCTCTACCACTTGAGCTATCGTAACCTCGACGTATCTTGCCGAAGATCATGGGTTCGAATCCCGCTCGTGGCACTGACTTTTTTGTCTCTACTAACAACCTTAATTAATTGAAGCAAATTATTTACATTTAATAAATTTCAATCAGCTTAAAAATTAACCATTGTTAGGCCATATCCAACCATTTTCTTTCGGCTAAAAAGATCACATCTTCGGACCAAATTTAAATGAGGACTTACATAGTATTTAAAGATGATAACTTATCTTTTTGTGAAGCGCTTTCATCTTTAGCCTTCATACGCAAGTAAGTATATAACTTCTTACTGCTGTCGGTAAATAGTTTAAATTTAAAAAAAATTCTCGGTAACTTTTCCTTCCCTTAAAATTTTTTTCATTTTCGTCTTTCAATACTGCATGAAACTAAAACTGTATGCATTACAAACACATCTTAAATGTGTATATAATACACTGATTTTGGCGTGATAGCATTTAAGAAAAATCACAGAAAATTCAATTGTCATATTTTACAATTTAACATTAATATTAATTTATATTTTATTGACTTTTGAATAGTGTCATCGGATATAATTTATGTTTCAAACTCCAGGCGATCGATGGTGAAGAGCTTGAAAAGTGGTACATTGTCACTTAACATAAAAACAATGGAGTATCGGTCCTCAGTATACATGAATCTTTGTGCAATCGATCTGTATAATTGATCCTGACATGTGCAAGAAATAGATAGAAGTATGCACATTTTATAATAAGTAGAGAGTATTTTTTAATACGAGTTTGTTGAAACTATAAACATTGCCAGTTTAAAACGAAATAATGTTAATGCATGACCTTTTCAAAATGTCGTAAGGATGAATGATTGGTAAAAAATTATTTTCAATTTTTTTACGTTTTCAGCAGTTTTAGTAATATTAAATCAGAAAGATATGTTAATGAAGAAATGACTGTGTTGATGAAGTCAGTATCATTGACCGTTTTGCCGAGTCTGCTGGATATGCAAATGAACCCGGCAGGTTCAAGGATGTTTCTGGGCCGACCAGCGCCATTTTAATGCCGCATTTCTTTCTTTTTTAACAGCACGCTTTTCAAACAGTCACATCTCTATTACATCAAATTGTCATAATTGTGAAAAATTTTACTTGTACAAAGTAAGTTGTGATGTCTTGCTTTTCGGGAAGTAGTTCATCTTTAATGAAATCAACTGCAAGAATTTTTTTTATCAAACCATCTATTTCATCTCTTAGCAGCAATCGGTTTGAAAAACTATGTTAACGTTTTAGCAAAACCAAGATTTATTCTCTTTTAATATGATTTGTTTTTCTACAAATGGTCTTTCGATGAAAATCGACAGACTCGTCCTTCTAAACGGTAGATGTAATTTACATAAAACTACCTAGCAATATAACTATTTTTATTAAAAAGAAACTATATTTCTGATTTTTTTAAAATTTGGTTTTTGCATTTTTTTCAGTTGACACAGTCATCTATTTCTGATCTTCCATTGGGCACAATAATCTTATTAACTCATTAAGGTTTTTAGTTAAGATAAAAAAGTCAATGGCACGAGCGGGATTCGAACCCACGATCTTCTGCTATATACGCCGCTGCTCTACCACTTGAGCTATTGTGACCTCGATCCACTCGGACACCAACTTCGCATCTCAACCCCACCTTTTGAATTATCCCTCCTTTTTGCCATTTTTCAAATGTCGTGTAATCGGATTGGATTCTCGGCGACAAATGAAAATGGCCACGGAGAGCTTTTTTATCCCAACTAAAACCCTTAATTAATTATGATATATTAATTGGTCAAGCGGACCACGAAATTGGTGAATTTAAATCTTATTAACTGTTACCACTTTCTGTGATTGGAGGGGCGTTTATAGTTTCATTCAATTCGTACAAATCGAAGATGGTTGGTGGTAAAACTGTTCAAAAGACAAAATCAACAACAATTTTTAGACCTCATTAAAAATCCCATTATATTTTTGATATTAATGAGTGGATTTTCTCAATTTTTTGATGGGCGTGAGGGAGGCCTAAGTTTAACTTTTTTATTTAAAAAAAATTCCTTTTTAAGTAGATTCATTAGATGACTGATTCGTCGTATATAATGAATTTATATATATTTTCAACATTTATTTCAATTTTTTAATTGTAACTATATAAAAAAATGATAAATAAAGAATTTATATCTGTAGGTAACACAAACGACGTCAAGTAACTGCTTGTAATATCTATTCTGTTCCTTATGCAGAGAAAGGTTGCTCGTTATGTCCCGCATAATCGAAGCGTATCGTGCCTTGGCTCCATACAGGGCGCGAGTAGGCATGCCGCCAGATTTAAAAGGGGTTCTGGGACACAGTGGCGAGTTTCAGGGTTTCGTTTTTTAAGGGAATTGGGAATTTTTTTAATGTATATAGAAGTTAAATTCTGTGTTTTGTGTTTCTGGGTCTTGTATGAGTGAATGTATTTATTGGTGAGAATGGAGAGGGGCTGATGGTGAAATAAGTCCACCGCTCCTCAGGTTATGTGCTTGACTTGGGTTAATGGCGGAATTTTATACAAATACCCCATCGACCCCAATTTAGATTAGTTTTAGTGAACATGTGGAGGAATATCAAGTACTCCATCTACCAAACAGAATGAGTGCGATCAGTGTACATATTTATGAATGTATTTATTGGTGTGACTGTATATTCAGTGTGTGTTGCCGTATTTTACTATTTTACTGCTTGGGGCTGAACTACCCTAGCTGTTGGATGCCCCTACAAAAAAAATCTATTCTTTTTGTACAGTTTGCATCTTTTTCACCATTCTTTGCTATTATTGCCATAAATCATCAAAGCATATTCTGTCAATTGCTGTTATGTATGTTTTTTTCTTACCTGTCAGTGAAGTCGTCTCTTGAAGTTCTACCGATACAGGTCGGTTGAAATGGAATAAAAGGTTAGAATTACAGAAAAAAAGTCGGTTTTACAATTTCTTTATATATTTTACATTTATGTTGGAACAAGGGCTCCAGCCTAACACATCACTTAAGTACATTTTTCGTATAAAAACACAAAACTAAACTTTCTTTTTTTCTAAATTAACATGTTATAATAATAATAAAGGAAAGGAACATCAAACAGGAAAAGAGGATATATTTTTGTCAGTTCTTTGCAATCTTGAGGTTTCTAGGTTACTCTAATATACAAAGAAAGCTCTGATACGAGGCTGGGGCCCACAAGATACAGCCACTACGACGTGCTATATACACAATGGGAACGCTATACATAGATAATAATTATTAATATTTATATTATATATATATTTATAAGTATTGTAGAAAATAACACATAAGACACCCTATTATGAGTGCGACTTTTGTCACTTTTCTTCTTAATTCCTGTACAAATCGGGAGTATAAATATGAACCACTTTTGACTTTGAGGGCGTCTGAAGAAACCACTTTAATTTCAGAACCAATTGACACTAGTTATGTATGTACACACACAACTATAAGCTAATTAATTAAATAAAAAATATATATAACAAAAGAACTGGGAGCAGTAATGCTTTTGTTGTAGTCTTAACGTGCGAATACATTACGTCTTTTCCCTTACTACGATAGGTTGATACGATATTTATATATACACACACATTTATATATAAAGTATATAAATTATATAATCCAGTACTCGGAGTAATTAAAGTTCGAGAGGCCGAAAAATTTTACACAAAATTTTTGTACTAGAATTTGCGACTGGCATGATTTTTTTCTTTAAGAAATAAATATTTTTATTTTATTTTAACTTTTTTGTAATAAAGTAAACATTGTCGGTGTCTAAATCTAAAATGCTAAGTCCTATATAACAGCCTTAAACATATGACTCAAAACAAAATAACAACTTATATAATCTTGAGCGTCCTGGCGTTAATGTGCGTTACAGACTCCACCGCTCCGCCCCCGAGACGCTGAACAACAAATAATTTAAAAACCTTTATACAATACGCGATTATGTTGTGCTTCATTCAAAGAAAAAAGCTAATTAGTATAAGGAGACCCTAAAATAGTCTAAATGCTCTATACAATATTTTTGTTTTAAAGATTCCATTCCAATTACGAAAAAATGTCAATTCATCATCTCATAAATTTTCATTTTCCCTCAACAAAAGTCACTCGATCATAGAACACGATCATTAATAAATATAAACAGTTTCATGTAATCTGACTCGTTTTAAGTTGCGCTGCTGAACAGGACTGAGTTCTTGTAATAGCCCGGTCGACTCTCTGAAACAGAAAAAAATTAAATCTAAAAACAAATAAAAATAAAACAAAAAAGAATTTTTTATATGGTAAAAACCTACACATAAACGATGTTCAAAAGAGACTATCGAAACAGACTAAGCGAGAAAGTAAAACTGTTCATCTAAGACCAAATTAGTAGTCATTTAAAAAAACGAAAAAAAAAGTTCAATAGAAAACTTCTAGTTCTAGTTAAACAATATATTAAAAGAACGAAACTTCTACGTTAAACCAAAATTTCACTCAATTTTGTAAACAGCAGTTTAGGAAAACAAAAATATTTGACAAAGTAGTTCGAAAATTTGTAAAATTGAAACAGAACCAATATAAATATAAACAGATAAAATATTATTGTTTCGAGGCGTTTCTGGATTTTTCTTCAGCGAAAGTCTAGCTGATCAATGTTGAACGAGGTTTCAACTATCCAACAATTCAAAATATTAAACTGTAATTATTTCTCATTTTATTTTGTGTGGTGATTAGTGACCGTTAGTCGATGATTATTCGGAGATCGTGAGATGCGGTCTGGTGTGATGTAGGTTTCAGATAAACGTTTTCTTTATCGTGCCAACGTTTCGATCTTTATTGAGATCATCCTCAGTTCCTGAGATTTACAAAAATTGTTTAAAGTTAACAAATACATGTAGGATGTGATAAAAAATGAATTTATACAATGCAAAAAATATTTTTTATGTTCAATCAAAGTAGTTCAATGAGTAGAAATACTTTGATTGAATATAAAAAAATATTTTTCCCATTGTACACATTCACTTTTTTTCACATCCTACTTGTATTTGTTAAATTTAAACAATTTTTGTAAATCCCAGGCTCTGAAGGTGATCTCAATAAAGATCGAAACGTTGGCACGATAAAGAAAACGTTTTTCTGAAACCTACATCTCACCAGACCCCATCTGACGATCTCATTTTATGTTTTTTATTATTATTCAAGTTGTAAACATTTATTGCATTTTCAAATTATCTACTCTAGATAGTGTTTTGAGTAAGTTGTGAAAGTTTAATTATTATTTGTTTCTTAATTGCGTTTAAAATATTATTTTTATGTAAAAAATGGAACAGTAAATATTACTGCCAGGTACATCTACTTACTTCAGGAGTTTTTAACGATCAAGCTTATTATTCCTAACTTCTGATTTTGTATGATGGTTGGTTCCCTAATGTCTAAATGGGTTTTATTGTCTTATATACCATTCGTTTGTTGCAATGCGTCAGTTTATGTCGTATGTGACGAAGTTGACAAAATTTTTAAAATTGTAAAACTAAAATGAAGAATGTAAATAACAACGTTAGACTTGAACACTGTCTCTTTGTTTTGTATCATGTTATAGCACCACGTATGATGTAAACCGAATGTACGTATAATTATATTCTGCATTTAAATATATTTGAGTTTATTTTAATAAGTATGAACGTACAGATACACTAAATCAAATGTCAACAATAAAGTCTTAACCACTCATGATTTTGAACTTGTTTGTACTTAAAACGAATAATAAATAGCTAAAATAAATTTGAATTTCTAAATCTTTGTTCTGTCTCAAACAAATATCGAAGAGAATTTAATAAGTATCCATGTACCCACTTATAATCGTTTTAATGTATAAAAGGTTATTTTTTAACGCTTCTAAGTATAGTATTTATAATTTAACAGTTCTCGACTCATGGGTTGTGCGAATTAAAGTTTTTTCTTAATTTGAATATTTATTAATTACGAGTTAATTACAAATGTGAAAGTTTCTCTAACCTTGAAGGGGCGACTTGTCTCTTTCGGCCTGTTGTTGACGCGACTTCCTCTCGAGCTCGAGTTCCTGGGCCAGTGTCTCTGGAAAAACATGAATGACATGAGCACAACCCCTCCTGCACTGGCAATTTAATATAAACGCCTTCCTTCTCTTTACTTCACCCTCTTTGAAAAGAAAATAGGGCCACCCTGAAACTCGATTGTTCCCTACCGTTTTGTCTCATATTTTTTCAAATTGGGCACATCCCAACCTATAAACGTCCCTCTCCCTTTTAATCCCCGGGCTTGTCGTTCTTTTTATTAATTCTTTTATTCGATTTTTCAGTGTGATATTTCTTGACGTTGAACTTTTCTCGTTTTTTTTTCTTCTTCTTTTTTTAAGGGGAGAAGGAATTAAGTAAGAGGGGCAGAGATCTAACATCGTTATCAATATTAAGGGTTGGAAAGGGTTGGGAATAGGAATTAGGATTAACAGTAAAAGCGTAATGGCTCTTTGTCCTTAGATGAAATCTTAATAGAGACTAATCTAAGTTGTCGGTCAAAGGAGGTGTTCCTCAGGGGACACAAGTTCCGACTATCCATCACCCAAAAGCTCCCCGAAGGCGGAGTCGGGGGAGACCCAAAGCAAATTCTTCAACGAGGCGTGTAGGTATGAGAAGGAATTAATCCATTCAAGAAAAGGAAGGGGAAGAATTCCATCTCTTCTTACACCCATCAAATGGATTACTAAAGCGTTGAACCTAACGTAAGTACTGTAAGTACCTGTAAACGATTTTTACTGTTTGTCTCAAATATCCCATAAATCGTTGTAATAGACAACCCCGATCAGAAAGTTCAAACAGTCAATCACGCATCTTTTTATCACCTACGAACAAAAAGCTTGTCGTTACGATTGTTATTATTAATGGCATGTCTATTAGGTCGGTAGAAAAATGTACTGTTGGTTCAAAGGTTGTTGATATAAACTCGATATTAATTACTATTGGCACCGATGATTTTTGTTATGTCTGGGTACGAGGATAATAAACTACAAAAATTTGAGAAAACTTATATTCCCCAATTAGCCATTCCCCGTCTGGACTAAATTTTTTTTTTTTTTTTTGGCGTTATGAACTATGCATATTAGCCATGTGACAATTCATATATGTGTGTTCAAATTTGGGGGGGTTATTGTGAAAAAAGGGCCAGAGGCGACAGTGGGAATCGAACCCACGACCGCGGCGTGAGAGTCTCTCATGCTAACCCCTCGGCTACCGTAAATTATTCTTATATTGCTTGATTTTACTTCCAAAATATTTTCCATTTATTATTGAATTTGTTCGTTCATTATTTGCTATTTAAAACGATGTTATAGCTAATAAATTTTTATTTAAGGCTAAATGTCTAATATAGTATATTTGACCATTTGAATATATAATTTTAGATGGGTTTTAGCTTTTATGATTTAAAGTAGACCAGTTGTTATTCAACAATATATTTGGTAGGATCGGGGATGTGAATGATTGTTCTGATGATGAACATATGCCAAACTTTCGGTGTTTTATTTCACCTTCCTCAGTGCTCTATATCGGATACATATACATATAATATTTTATGATTGCTCTTCTGTGTAAGTGAAAACAATCAACTTGTTTTTACAACTTACATATTCTCTGTCAGTATGTAAAATAGTGTTCTCTTATCCACATTTATAAATATTTTTTCTCTCTTATTGTCATTTCTTATACTAAATACAATGTTTTTTTTAATAAATAAATAAATGGCTCTTTTTATAAACTATTATCACAGACAATTTCAAATACTGACATCGAATCTGTAAGTTGTAAAAACAAGTTGATTTTTGATTTTCACTTGCACAGATGACCAATCATAAAATATTATATGTTTATGTATCCGTTGTAGAGCCCTGAGGAAGGTGAAATAAATCACCGAAAGCTTGGCGGAGAACATTCATTGGACCACATCCCCAATCCTACAAAACATTATTTAGTTTTTATGGTTCTATGTATGATATGTTTGTAATTTTACAAAAAACTAATAGTCTTAAAATACATTATATTTAAAAATGTTTTTAAATAAAGTGTAAATTTTTTAAGCATTCTGGTATGCAATGTGTAAGGTTGTGTAAAGTGTGCTATGTTAGTTAATGATTTCATTTGGAACGGTGTTGTCAAATTCTCATATTAAATCCTTTTGAATCTCGTTGAAAACAGCTTCTAGTCTACAAATTTGACAATTTTAGAATATATGTGAGTTTTTATTAGTTAGATGTTTTTTATTGGTAATTAACGCATGCTTTGTTTGTTAACATAACTTCTATTTGTGTTACATATATGATTTTGCATGTTAAAAAAATCTTTTACTACAATGAAACTATAAGTTGAAGTCATCAGAAAGCTTTTTTTGAAAGGAGGTGCAATCGGATAAATATCAACTTATTAAATTAATTGTACCTCAGTTAAATTTATACTTGTTGAGCTGAGCTAAAATAAAGAAAATTCTATTTGATAAAGAGTCGATATTTGTGGTTATTCATTTCTGACCTAAATTATACTTTAATTAAAAAAAAAAAAAACTTTTTAGCTAAGCTGACCTCATGACCTTCAGTTCTGACAACCAAGACCTTAGATAAAAAGTCTAATTAATTAAAATAATTAATAGATCAATTATGACTATTAAAAACATATATGGATTAACATATTAATTTTTTAGCTTCTAAATTATTTCCGAATTTGATATTGACATTTTGATTTGATATTGACAAAATATTCACTAATTTCGTGTTCTGCTTGACCAATTAAATCATTACAATTAATTAAGGTTTTTAGTTGAGATGAAAAATGGCAAAAAGGAGGGAAAACTCATAAGGTGGGGTGAGATGGGGAGTTGATGTCCGAGTGGATCGAGGTCACGATAGCTCAAGTGGTAGAGCAGCGGCGTATCTAGCTGAAGATCGTGGGTTCGAATCCCGCTCGTGCCATTAACTTTTTTTCATCTCAACTAAAAACCTTAATTAATTGTATTGACAAAATAATTAATAATTCAATAAACAAATATAATTATACATCAAGGTACCTACGTACCTTTCTTAAATTCTTTATATGTTAGACGTGAGTTCATTACTGATATAATTCAGATAATGTCTCGTTATTATTATTTTTCTTTAAACTAAGTACTAAGTGTAGAAGATCCTAACAACCGATTAATTATGTGATTATCGTTGTTCAATAATTCTGCAGTTGTTTTGGAAAATAGTCAAAACCAGTCTCTCGATATATATTTTTATTCGGCAAAATATAGTTTGCTATGCGTAAGAATGGTTCTTTTTGTTTATCAGTTTCTTTCTTCTTTAAATAGGTAAATTTCAAATTTACATAAAAGGAGTAAATTCTAAATTAACCTTAATAGAGCCATTTCTAGGCGGAAGATGTGAGGTTTGGTAATTACCATAACGATTGCGAAGGGGGCAAGAGGAAAACAAAGACCGTAGGCAGCTAGATTTGAAAAGAGATTAGTGTATACATAGAAGGATCTATAGAGAGGTATTTCATCTAGGTCTATAGCCTCTCACGGGTAATTATTCGGAGCGAATCCCACAGCCCGAATGTCACAACGTTCGAACGAAAAGAATATACGGAGTCATCTAGAATCAATCCGTACCCGTGACGGACCTATTACGTTTCGAGTGTGTGTGAAAGTGGCCTTTTCGGTTCGTTTTCTTCGAGACGGCCGATTAGCGGTGGAAGAGTGCTCAACCCTTTTTGAATTGGTTTCTAAATCCAATTTCCAGGCGGGAGGGGCTCAACGGTGGTTAACAATGTGAGTTATTCATGGAAATATTACAAGATTATGGGGTGGGGTAACTTGTGAGTTATGGGCCCCCCTCGGGCCACTAATGCCCCCCAAATGAATTGATAATCAGAGAATTCGGTCATCCGCAAGCGGCTCCGGCCGTCGTCAAATATTGATCACCCTCGAGGGCTGCCTTACTCGGAAATAGCCGCCCTCGACTCCAGCCGCGCTGCTGCGAACGCCTCCCGTGGAAGACCCATTCCAGACAGTTTGAGACAACGACCCGAAGGACGTCTGCACTTTCCAGCAGTTCTATCGGAATGGAGTCAAACTCGTTTTCCATTTAGGGAATCTCAATGATGGGTTTTAAAGCGTGTAAGCCGCGAGCTGGTTTGTTATTAAATCTACAGTTATAACGTCTAGAATAATAAACAAGTGACCCGTCTAATCGGCCAGAATCTATTCGTACGAGACATAAAATTCAACTTCATATAAGTATTACCTAAGTCCTATTGAACATTTTAAGATGCTAATATAATGCATAATCCTTGTAAAACAAAACAAAGAAAACATGAATGAAAGTAATCTCTAGAATCTACAAATTAATTAAAAAATCGATAACGTGTCATACAAAGCACTCTACACGATATAGCTTTAGCCACCTATAAAATTGTAATATTATCGATTAGATTAAGATAAAGTATGCAAATGACTGCAATTTTTCACTATAAAAAAGACAATGGCTTAGATTACCGGTCACACCTACTCTCACATTGAATAGTGAAAGAAGAAATTACTAAAAACATCTTATTTTTGCTCACTTCATCAACTCATTGGTCTAAGAAAGAATCAAATTTAAAATATTTGAACAATAGCTATTACCTATATATTATTTCTTAATAGAGAAAATTCCTACTAGTGTAATCATAGGTTTTGTACGAGATTCTCTTTTTTGATAAATAATTTTTCCCATAGTTATTGAAATAGACGCAAATTAACTAACAGCAATTAATATTTCTAATAATTAATACTTTTGTACTAAGAGTAATTAAGTTTTTGTAATATCCGTATTAAATAAATAAATAAATAATTATAGAAAAATCGAAAAGACAAACTTGAAATGAAGCAATTGGAAGCATGTATATGCTGAAAAAATTCAAACATATTAATGTAACAAAAGTTTCAAGAGTTGTAGTTATGTTAGTTAATATTATAAATTTATTTAATTAGATTTAATTAGTTTCTTTATTTTCTTAATAAATTGCAATATAACTCAAAAAATAGGAAGA